TTTAAAGGACTGGACTAAGAATAATGAGTGAGAAGGAAGTCAGACACACTTTGACTCCATAAAAGGCAGAACTTGCTAACAGAGCTGTTCAAAGATTTTCTGGGCAATGTTGAGAGTTGGTAAGCATCCAATAGCTGAAGTGTACAAGCAGAGGCATGTTCCAACTGTCAGGGATGTCGTCAAGGCAATTACTACATTGAGAACATGTCGCCTTTTTTCCCTAAGGTTTCTTCCATGTCAAAGATTCCATGATGAAGGTCACAAACACAAATATATTTAAATATACTTAAGGGTAACATCAATGAGTAAAGTGTTCACATGAGAAAATAGGGATTTCAAGAAGTTGTGGCTAACTATACACAGTATATAATAATGTTCACATTTCTTTAAAAAAAAATAAAAGAAACTACATAGAAGTCTGTGGACCTAATTTGACCTGCTGGCCTTCAATTTGTACTTTCTATTTTATAAATCTTGAGGTCTAGGTTCTGGTCTAAGTCCTGTGACTTATTGGCTTTCTATAATCCTTGATCCTAGGCCAGTTCTCCCATTGTAGCTCAGTTTCCTCATCTCTTCCATGAGGGCCATAGACGATCTTTGTGTCCTGCCTCAACTCTGATTTTTCTCCCAGCTGCAGGCAAAAGCAGATACCCAGGAGGACAGAACACAAGCTAGGTAGGCAGGAAGCGTTACTCCTGTGTGTGTCTTTACTGTTTAAAGGATACTGTTTACTTATAGAGCTTTGTGTCAGAATGAATAGAGATGAGATCTTTGTAAGTATGGACTATGTCTTAATCATCTTTCTTGTTCCTTTATTCTATTTTTATTATTAAAAATATAGTAAAATATGCAGACAATAATCAACCCATGCACCTACCACCAGAATATATTGTCATATGTCCATTATCTTTATATAATAAATATTAAATATGTGACTAAATCCTAGTATGTCTCTGAAGTCATATACACCTCCCTCCCTCTCCAGAAGCAACCATTAGTAAGTTTATGCCCTAGACTTCACGTATTTCTACTTTAAATACCATAAACAACACATAGTTTTTTTTATGTTCTAAAAACTGACATAAATGGTGTAATATTCCACATATGTATAGGGACTACATAGTACGTCTTTCATTCAATAGTACAATCTTAGAGATCCATCCAGTTTGATGCATACAAATTTAACTCATTAATTTTAATTGCTAAAGAGCATCATATCCTACTATTACACTGCAATTTATTTTTCTTGTTCCCTAAACTCTTTCCAGTTCTCTATTTACAGTTCAAAATCGCATTGAATATCCTTATACATGTTTCCTTTGCATGTGACTATACCTGGAAAGTGAAATCGCTGAGTCATTAGGCATATGCTGTGCCAATTTTACTAGATACAGCCAACTCGCTTCCAAAAGTGTGTGTACCAATTTATACTCCCTTCAGCAGGATATATGAATCCCCCTTTTTTGTCAAATCTGGTCAACATTTGGTATTTCTTAGACTTTTAAAAATGTTGCCCATCTGATGGTTGAGAAACCTCACTGAGGTTTTAAATTGCATTTCCCTGATTAGTGAGGATGGGCATATTTTCATCTTTATTGGCAGTTCTGGCTTTCTCTTCTGTGAATAACCTGCTCAAATCTTTTGCCTTCTGTTCAATTGAATGATCTGTCTTTTTCTTCTCTCCCTCTCTTTTTTTTTTTTTTTTTGGAGCTAACACTCTGGAGCCAATCATCATGAATTCCCATTATAAATGTGTCACTTAATAGGCATGTGTACTTGGGGATGTGACTTAACCTCTCCTTGGCTCACTTTCTTCAGCTCTAAAATGGAAAAAAAAAAAAAAAAAAAAGTAGTATCTCATAGGATTTTTGTGGTGGTTAAGAGAGTTAATACATATTAACCTGTTAGAAGAGATCCTGGAATATAGTAACTGCTTAATAAATGGTAGCTATTATTATCATCTTCAAGGAGGAAGATGTTCTCTATGTATTCCAGACTGATTCTTTGTCTATTAAGTATGTTACAAAAATTTTCTTTGTCTTTTAACTTTGTAACTTTTGTCATGAAGGTATTTGAAATTTTAGTGTAAATTTATCAATTTTCTTTATAATTTGTTCTTTTTTTCTATGCAAACATATTTTTCTTCATAGGATCATAAAGTTGTGCTCCTATCTTAACTTTTAAAACCTTTTTTTTTTTTAATTTAAACCTTTTTCTACTTTTAATTTGTTTTTATATAGAGGTAATTCTCTAATTTTCTTTTCATACAGATAACTTTTTGGGATTTGTTTGTTTGTTGTTTGTTTTTTTTGTTTTTGTTTTTTTGAGATAGAGTCTCTCTCAGTCACTCAGGCTGGAGTGTAGTGGTGCAGTCTTGGCTCACTGCAACCTTTGCCTCCCAGGTTCAAGTTATTCTCCTGCCTCAGCCTTCCAAGCAGCTGGGACTACAGGATAGAGCCACCATACCCAGATAATTTTTCTACTTTTAGTAGAGATGAGGTTTTACCATGTTAGCCAGGCTGATCTTGAACTCCTGACCTCAAGTGATCTGCCCACATCAGCCTCCCAAAGTGCTGGGATTATAGGTGTGAGCCACCACACCTGGTCTCATACAGATAAGTATTTAAATAAATTTTGATTTGTGAAGCCACTTCTCTCATAAATCAAGTTCCTGTATACCCCAGCATCTATTCCTGAGCCCTTGAGTCTATCGAATTAACATATTTTTAACCCTGTAAAATACCACACTTCTCTAATTGCTACAGCTTTAAACCAGTTCTTGAAATTCAGGAGAATAACTCCTCTTAGTTCTTGTTCTTTACTGCCCTGCCTATTCTTGAACACTTACTCATAAACAGGAATTTTAAAATAAGTCCATCATGGCTCAGCATGGTGGCTCACACCTGTAATCCCAGCACTTTGGGAGGCTGAGGAGGGAGGATCATTTGAGACCAGGAGCTTGAGGCCAGCCTGGCCAACATAGTGAAACCCCATCTCTACTAAAAATAGAAAAATTAGCTGAGCATGGTGGCGCCCGCCTGTAATCCCATCTACTTGGGTGGCTGAGGCATGAGAATTACTTGAGCCTGGGAGGCAGAGGTTGCAGTGAGCTGAGATCGTGCCCCTGCACTCTAGCTTGGGTGATAGAGAGAGAGAGACTCTGTAAATAAATAAATAAATAAATAAATAAATAAAATAAGCCCATCAAATCCATGAAAAATAATTTCATTGCAATTTTTGTTGGAATTACATTGAATTTATAGATCAATGTGGGAAATAATTTATAGCATATATTCATGATGTTGAACTTGCATGTTCATAACCGAGCTCCTTTTTGACCTTGTACAGTTGTGTAATTTTCTTTATAAAAGTATTAAATACTATTTGTTAGATTATTTTTGCCCTAGGCACTGTGTAAATTTGAATGCAATTGTGAATGAGATCTTTAAAAAATAACGTTTTCTATTTTCCAATTATTGTTAAATAAAATCTCACTAATTATTTTTGTATGTTGATCTTATTTCCAGCATTCTTCCTGAACTTTTTAAATTCTAAATAGATAGTCTGTGAATTCTTTTTGCATTTTATATGCAAACAATGATACCATCTGCAAATAACAATTGTGCTTCTTTTTTTCAAATAATTATATCACTTATTTCTTTTTATTGCATTTTTGAATGGGTTAAAATTTCCAGTAATTGCTACATAGAAGTGGTTTTAGTGAATAATTTCTTGTCTTGAGTTTAATGTGAATGCTTCTAAAATCTGACCATAAAGTATGGCATTTTCTGTGGGTTTGGGATAGATGCTCTTTATAAGGTTAAGGAAGTTTTTTTCTTATGTACTGGTCTTTTCCTTAATTTGTGAATGAATATTGACCTTATAAAATATTTTTCTACATTCATTGAGATGCTCACATGTTTTTGTCTTTTTTTGTTAATGTGTTGAATGAAGATTTATAGATCTTTTAAATGTTGACATGTCTTTGCATACCTGGGATAATCTGTTTTATCCTGATGTACTATCAATCCAATTCTGGGTTTGTTATAATTTGTTCACCGATGCTATAGTGTGATTGGACAATATATCTTATTTCTTATATTTCCTGTGCCTAATTTTGATATCAAATAATAGGTAGTTTACTCTCTTTGTTCATTTGCTGAAAGAGATTGTATCAGAAAGGAATTATGAGCTTCTGATTTGTGGTAAAAACTTCTCTATAAAATTATGTGGGATTGGTGCCTTTTTAGGGAGAATTTTTGATTACTAATTAATTTTTGTTATAGACAATTATTTTTCTAATACAGGTTTGTGAAGGCCCAACTGTATTAATTCTATTTTACTGTGTCTTATACTTTGGCAAGATGAAATGTTCTATATGATATCAATTATTTGGACATTTTTGAGACCTTTTATAAACTAATACATGACCAGCTTTTTAAAATGATACATGTATGTTTAAAAAAACATTTGTGCTCCTCACTCCTTACATAAGAATACAGTTATGTTGTATTATAGTATTATTACCTGAGAGAAAATAGCTATTTTATTCAAATCTTTAGCATCTTTTCTAATATTGACTTCCTGATCTATCAGTTTCTAAAATAGGTGTTAAAATCTTTACACAAGTATTGTATACTTCAAAATTCCTTCATGTAATTCTATCAGCATTTATTTTATAAATTTATAAATGGTTTGGCTGTGTCCCCGCCCAAACCTCATCTTGAATTGTAATAGTCTCCACATGTCAAGGGCAGGGCCAGGGAGAGATAATTGAACCATGGGGGGAGTTTTCCCCATACTGTTCTCATGGTAGTGAATACATCTCATGATCTGATGGTTTTATAAATGGGAGGTCCCCTGCACAAGTTATCTTGACTGCTGCCATGTAAGACATGACTTTGCTTCTCCATCACCTTCTGCCATGATTGTGAGGCCTCCCCAGCCATGTAGAAATGTGTGAGTCAATTAAACCTCTTTCCTTTATAAATTACCCAGTCTAGGGTATGTCTTTATTAGCAGTATGAGAAGAGTAAGACAATGTATATATATAAATTCATGATAGTTATGGTTTCAGTTATAGTATCAGTATATAATATTTGATACAGCTTAAGTTCTCTGAGAGGCAACCATGAGATAGTGATTAACAGGTAAGATGTTTACTAGGTGGCACTCCTGGGATCAAAACCTGTGGAAGAAAAGGAAAAAAAAAATAACCATGATTGGGCAGAGGGAGAAGTTGAGCTGTGATGCAGTCTCAACAGAGACCTAAGATGACCACGTGAAGAGCTCTGGAGCTGGGATGGTTATTTAGAGTTTGCCCAGTTAAGGTAAGGGCGCCAGGACTTTATAACCTCTGGATGATCAGTCACCAGATGTGGACTTCCCTGAAAGAAGTGTGATTTGGGGTGAGACAGTTTTTTTAGTAAAGGCAATCTCTCAGGAGAAGTTTACAGCTGAAGACTGTCTTTCATCAGTACTTCTAGAAGCTGGGGGAGTATGTCCTTAATTAGTAAAGAGGAATCTGGAGGCATATTATAGTACTCACCACAGACTACACCTTAAGCTGCCTGGATTCACTTCCTCATATAGGTCCTGGGAGTGACTCTTCTAACATTCCAGAGGAAAAACTTAGAAAAGAAAAAAAAATATATGATGATAAACTACAGTCCCCATCACTTTTGCTTATCTCAAGTCCATACAAGGTCTTCACTATCTCCCTTCTCTACCACTTATTATAAATTTCCCTTACCCTCAGCTAGCACCTCTGGTGGTCTTGGAGACTTGCCTGGTGATGTGAACTAGATCTTCAACCCTGTGCGGTCTAATTCCCTTCCTCATTACCATTACCTTCTCAGACCAGAGTTACTGTATTTGTGCAATTATTGTCAAAACTTGATATAGAAACACTAAAAGATACTTAAGTGTATTATCTGGCTGCTAAATATATTCCTAATGTTCTCATTGTGTAACAGCATCCTGACTTACTCCTGCCAAGATGGTGATTCATTTCCTTACCTGCTGACCCTTTGGCATGAGTTGCCCAAAGTGCTAGACAGGAGCCATAGCTGGGCCCTATTAAAATCTGGCAGCCTTTCATATCATCTGGTGTTTAGGTCACATTAGTATTGCCAGATATGGTTCCCATAATACGGAATATGCTGCCTTTGTAGCCCAAAGAAACCTGCTAGGCATTTTACTTCCTTCTTCAGGCTGATAATACAAATTTTGATAATTTTTTCTTTATTTGGGGAGGATGAGTGATTCTTATCATGCCATAAACACCACACATCCATAATTTTACTAATGCACCAGGCCCTGAATATTCATAGGGTTTAACTCCAACTCTCCAGGGAATATGCTTCTTAGCAAATCCTCCAACTAGCATCTATATTTGGCTCATCTGGTTCCATTAGCATGTTGTCAATATAGTGAACAAATGTCATATTCTGTATGGATGTCTAAATGGTCTGTATCTCTTCATACGTATTTAAACAAAGGCCAGAGGAGTTAACACAGCCTTGAAACAAACATGTAATTGATTCAGTTGTCTACTTTAAATGAAATTATTTTCATTTCCTCTTCCTAATGATGAAAAAATATATTTTCCAGAGCAATGGAAATATGGCTGCATACCATATATCTGATGACATGTTAATCTGCTCTAGCAAAGATACCACATCTGCCACTGGGTCCAATGCCTGGCTGTGTTTGCAGTAGTCCACAGTAATAATATGTCTTGTTTTTGAAGAAATCAGATTGGTAAATTAAACAGAGACTGATGGGGACCATCATTCCTGTATCCTTTAAAAAACTGTAAAAGTGGCACTAAGTTCAACCATTCATATTGGACAATATTTTTTTGAAGTAACTATCTTGAAACAAGTATGGGGGGATGAGCTGTTTTCACAGATTTCTTCTTAACTTTTCCCCTAATCCTGTAGGGTGAAAATTCAATGTGGAGATTGTGCCAACTACCAAGCATGTCTATTACAATTATTAATTGGGGTCTGCAGAAATGACCACTGGATGAGTTCATAGATATGGTAAACACACTATGGGCTGGACTTAGCTATCCCAGGTCCCCACTCTGACAGAAAAATCATGATGACACTTTGACATCAATATCAACTTGGAATCCGTTTCCAACAGTCTTTAAAGTGTTTGGATATTCCACTTTCCCTAGGATACAATTACCCAATAGAAGGCAGTAGTTCCCTTTGAGAAAAGTCTGAAGTAGCCACTACCACATACATTTGCCATGATTTTGCAGGGTTCCTCTAAAAGGGTCTCTTCTCAAGTCAATGGGTTCTGGGTTTAAAAACTGGATATTGGACAGGGGATTGTAATTTTTATTGGAATGATGGCTCTCAGCCTTGTCATTAGCATCCTTGAATTTGTTGTCTGATTTTACAGATAGAAAAGCACTCCTGTTAGCTGTTGCTGTAGTTTGAATGTGTTCCCCAAAGTTCATTTGTTGGAAACTTAATTCCCAATCGCATTGTTGACAGGCAGGACCTTTAAGAGGTGAACAGGTCCTGAAGACTCTCCCTTCAAGATGGATTAAGGCTGTTATTGCAGGAGTGGGTTTGTTATTGTGGGAGTGGATTCCTGATTAAAGGACGAGTTCATTCCCATACTTCTTCCCACACCCTCTCTTTCATGCATGTGCATGCACAAGCACTTTTTTTTTTTTTTTTTTGAGATGAAGTCTTGCCCTGTTGCCCAGGCTGGAGTGCAGTGGTGTAATCTGGCTCACTGCAACCTCCACCTCCTGATTTCAAGCAGTTCTCCTGCCTCAGCCTCCTGAGTAGCTGGGATTTTAGGCATGCGCCATCATGCCCAGCTAATTTTTGTATTTTTAGTAAAGATAGCGTTTCACCATATTGGTCAGGCTGGTGTTGAACTCCGGACCTCAGGTGATCTGCTTCCTCCACCTCCCAAAGCACCGGGATTACAGGCATGAGCCACCGTGCCTGGCCCACATTTCCTTTATTTCCTTTTTTTCCCCTTTCTACTGGTTTAGGAATTAAACATTGCATTCTTTCCTCCCTTTTTTGGTATTTGCCTTTATAATGCTAATGCACAAAGTTAACTAAATCTGTGACTAATCAATATCTCTCTTATATGACTGAATTAGAGGAATATAGAATAATTAAAGTCAATATCTCGCTATCATCCATGATATTGTGTCATAGTTTGATTCTACTTAGGACTGATACATGTCCCCACCCTTAGGTACAAATGTAATTCGTATATGCCCACAAACATTCATCATTCTACCACTGTGGCTTTGAGTTTCTTGTTCATTTCTGGGACTTTGTGATATTTCCTTCTTCCTGCTTTCAATTTCAGCTAAATAGTTTAAGAAAAGGTTTGTGTTCTACCTAAGTCAGCATTTCTATATATTTGGAGCAGAATGAAAGGTTGATTACTTCTGCTGGGGCCACCATATTGATCAGAAGTTTCCTCTTATTAATCTTTGCTTTTTTCAATTCTTGAAAGCTCTCTGGCACATAGAGGATCATCCATGACATTCATTCATTCAAGAATTATTTAGTGAGTATCTCCTGGTGGCTGGTGCTAAGCCCTGGAGTTAGGAAAATTCACTTCAGTGTGTCTAGAAAATGTTTATTCTGTGGTTGAGAAGATGATAAGAGGGTATGTTTTTCACTGGGTGCTGTTATAATTATCTCTTTTAGTAAAACATTCCTAGGGACTAATTCACTCCTAAAACGAAGTAGACTGTGTAAGAATTTCCACTCTGTGAGGAATGACAGTAGAGTTTTGATCCCAGTAACCCGCCTCAGGGAAAGCCTGTGTAATTGAAATTTACCAATAAATTTAAAATTCATTTTAGCTGAGACCACCTCACTTTTCACCCACTCTCCCCTCTCTCCTATCCTCTGATGCACCCATACACTGTTCAGGGGTCTCTGCTTGATCTGGCATGAAGTCAGCTCGGGTGCTATTTTACTTTCATTTTCTATTTCTCATTGTTCACAGTGTTTGTCTCTCCCTCCCAGAAGCCTTCCATCACAAAGTAAGAACATGAAGGAAATCAATGTGTCTTGAGCAATATTCTAAACCTCTCTGGGAGGTGCAGCAAAGCAATAGAAAAACAAGGAGAGTCAGTCTCCCAAGTTTTCATCTCACCATACCTTCCTCCAGAAGCACTTGACCGCCTCCATCAGCCTCCCAGAGCTGGCCCTCCAACTCTCTGGAGCTCCCTGACAGGTCCCAGGTGGTGAATATCATCTGCTTCTTGTTAGAATTCTGCTCTGTGTGAGCAGGTTTTGGAAGCAGCCTTTGAGAGCTTGTTTGCCATCAGCCCTCTGACACTTCTGTCTCCTTCACAGACACCCAGTAATTGGGTCCTCTTGGGTCATGAGCTACAAACACTTCTCCACTTACTCTACAAAGTTTTTTTTTCTTCTTTTATAAAACATAGATTTGCAGCTAAACTGTTCCTTTGTCATGCCCAAGAAGGTGTAAAAACCCATCTTATTTTCTTTCTGGTCTTTGGCTCAAAAAGAGAAGTTTTTCTTTTTGAGTGGTCCCAGCCCAGGTGGCAAAATGAACTTTAAATTTAGCAAGTTAATTATTCCCTTGTGCTATGTTGTTTGAAAAAAGTCTATACATTTAAAATTATGAAATGAAATGTCATTGTAACTCTCCTTGCAGACTGTAATTTGATACTATGATTAATAATGATATTGCAATGTCAAAGGTGGATTGGATAAAGCAAATAAGGTACATATACACTGTGGAATACTATGCAGCCATATAAAAGAATGAAATAATGTCTTTTGCAGCAACATGGATGCTGGAGTGCAATGGCACAATCTCAGCTCACTGCAACCTCTGCCTCCCGGGTTCAAGCAATTCTCCTACCTTAGCCTCCCTGAGATTACCCATGCACACCACCATGCCCAGAAAATTTTTGTGTTTTTAGTAGAGATGGGGTTTCACCATGTTGGCCAGGATGTTCTCAATCTCTTGACCTTATGATCCACCCGCCTTGGTCTCCCAAAGTGCCGGGATTATAGGTGTGAGCCACCATGCCTGACCGGAAGTCTTTATCTTAAGCAAACTAATACAGAAACAGAAAACCAAATACCACATGTTCTCATTTATATGAGGGAGCTAAACTTTGGGTACACATGGACATAAAGATGAGAACAACAGACACTAGGGAATACAAGAGGGGAAATTGAGGGAAGCAGGGGAAAGGGTTGGAAAACTACCTATTAGGTACCTTGCTCACTACCTGGGTGATAGGTTCAATTGTACCTGAAACCTCAGCATCATCCAATACACCCATGTAACAAATCTACACATGTACCCCCGAATCTGAAAGAAAAATACAAAAAGAAAAATAAATAAATGAATAAATCATGATGGCAATCATGATATAATAGCAATGGGATAATAATGGCTACAGTTACTGTGTGTGTAGCAGGCACTTGCTAGATGCTTCCTATGCTTTATCTATGTTCACACTAACAACATTATGAGGTCATTTCTGTTAATTTCACCTTTTTACAAATAGGAAATACGAGGCTTAGGGAAATAAATTACCTTACCAAAAGCCACAGATAGTATGTAGTGAAGCTGGAATTTGAGCCCCATAGCCTGGATCTGTAACCACCACGTTGTGCTACTTTCTGAATATCCAACAAATATTTTGTTAGGTTAGGCACCATTTCAGTGCCACTCACCACAATTAGTAAGTAATACACCATCATTTCTGGCAAACAGTTCACATAAAAAGCAACCGCTGAGTCAGAGAAGGAGAAAAAATTCACCAGGCAAAAGTTGTCAAAGTATTTCTGGTAGAAGAGGCTGAATGCACAAAGACAAAGATCAAAAAACCAATAGAGATAATTCTGCTAACCACAAGGAGTTTATCATCATAAGGCTGGAGATTTGGATGAAGGAGTAGACAGGAGCAACAGAAGAAAGAGCCTGGCATGCCATGATGGTCCTCCGGAAGTCTTTGAATATAATCAAGATGTAAGAGTCATCTTGATTTGCATCCTATAGAAGAAAGAGCTATAGACAATTCAGAAGTGAATGCAATTAAGTCCTGATATGCTTCTGTTGTTCCTGAAATAGCTCTGATTTCCATGGACGAGAAGTTTAAATTCTAACTCTGAGATTGTGTAACTTCCTTCCAGAGGCTGGTCGCTTGTATTTCATAAGCATTAAATGATTTGAAGAACAGAGTTCTGGACTGGAACAAAAAGTGGGGACTTTTCACTCAACAAACTTTTTAAAAAACATGGTTATAATGTCTCATGCTCTATGACAGTTGCTAAGGATACCAAGTCAAATAAGAATGGAAGCTACCACTCATGCAAGTAATAGCGACTTGAGAGGCTTGAAGCTGGGGGATCACTTGAGCCCAGGGGTTGAACGCAACCTGGGCAATATGGCAAGATCCTGTCTCTTAAAAAAACATTAGGAGGGAGGTTCCAAAATTGCCAAATAGAAAGAGCTCCAGTCTACAGCTCCCAGCGTGAGCGATGCAGAAGAGGGGTGATTTTTGCATTTCTAACTGAGGTACCGGGTTCCTCTCACTGGGGCTTGTCGGACTGTGGGTGCAGCCCATGCAGTGTGAACCGAAGCAGGGTGGGGCATCGTCTCACCCAGGAAGCACAAGAGATCAGGGAATTCCCTTTCCTAGCCAAGGGAAGCCGTGACAGATGGTACCTGGAAAATTGGCACACTCCCACCCTAATACTGTACTTTTACAATGGTCTTAGCAAACGGCACACCAGGAGATTATATCCCGTGCCTGGCTCAGAGGGTCCCACACCCACGGAGCCTCCCTCATGGCTAGCACAGCAGTCTGAGATCTAACTGCAAGGTGGCAGTGAGGCTGGGGAGGGGCATCCACCATTGCTGAGGATTGAGTAGGTAAACAAAGCGGCCAGGAAGCTTGAACTGGGTGGAGCCCACCACAGCTCAAGGAGGACTGCCTGCCTTTGAAGACTTCTTTTGAGACAATTCTCAAAAGAAGACATTTATGCAGCCAACAGACACATGAAAAAATGTTCATCATCACTGGCCATCAGAGAAATGCAAATCAAAACCATGATGAGATACCATCTCACACGAGTTAGAATGGCGATCATTAAAAGTCAGGAAACAGCAGGTGCTGGAGAGGATGTGGAGAAATAGGAACACTTTTACACTGTTGGTGGGACTGTAAATTAGGTCAACCATTGTGGAAGACAGTGTGGTGATTCCTCAGGGATCTAGAACTAGAAATACCATTTGACCCAGTCATTCCATTACTGGACATATACCCAAAGGAATATAAATCATGCTGTTATAAAGACATATGTACACGTATGTTTACTGTGGCACTATTTGCAATAGCAAAGACTTGGAACCAACCCAAATGTCCATCAATGATAGTCCGGATTAAGAAAATGTGGCACATATACCCCATGGAATAGTATGCAGCCATACAAAATGATGAGTTCATGTCCTTCATCCATGTCCTACCATCATTCTGAGCAAACTATCACAAGGACAGAAAATGAAACATCGCATGTTCTCACGCATAGGTGGGAATTGAACAATGAAAACACTTGGACACAGGGTGGGGAATGTCACATACCGGGACCTGTCATGGGGTGGGAGGACTGGGGAGGGATAGCATTAGGAGATTTACCTAATGTCAATGACAAGTTAAAGGGTGCAGCACACCAACATGGCACATGTATACATATGTAACAAATCTGTGCATTGTGCACATGCACCCCAGAACTTAAAGTATAATTTTTTAAAAAAGAAATAACCATAAAAATAGGCAACCAGCCCTTGGGGCTGCTCCATCTGTGGAGTAGCCATTCTTTTATTCCTTTACTTTCTGAATAAACTTGCTTTCACTTAAATAAATAAATAAAGTACCAGAAAATAAACAAATAAAATAAAAAAACATTAATAGGGGATGCAAATATGTAAAAGAACAAATAGCCCCCAGTGTGATGATATGTTCAGTGATAAGAAGTATGCATAAAACCGTATGAGAGCACAGAGGAGGTGGATAGCAGAGCTTTGGGGAGGGAGCTCAATAATGGGTTCAACTTCTGGCTCTGTTACTAATTATTAGGCAAGAAATGTAATTTCTTGGGGGCATCATTCCCCTTATCAGCAAAATCAGAACACTGGATGATATCCAAGTATGCTCTCAGTTTTAAAATTAGGTGATTAGAAACTATCATTTTATGATACCACTGACTTAAAAATACTTGATTTACAAAATTCAGTATGTAGAAACGTAAGCTAAGCATCAATTTCTTCCCCCACTCCCCACTCCCTCTAGAGGTCAACTTCCTGTAGCATATTGCGAAAAATGCCCTCAAATAATGTTTTGTAAGTTGAAAGTCTAGGTATTAAAATTCTAAATGGCAGTTTTCTAGGCTAGCACATAGCAGCATAACACAATGCTTTTAAATATTAGCTCTGGAGTCTGACCAGTCTTCTTGTGATCATGGGAACATGACTTTATCATGGTAAATAACCTCCAGGCTTCAATTTCAATTTCTTTATCTATAAAATGGGGTTAACAATTGGATCCACTTTTTAGTGTTGCTAAGAGCAATAAATCAGTTAATACATGTAAGTGTTTAGAATTATACCTGGACTATGATAGACATGAAGTAAATATTAATTATATCAATCTATAATGAAGCTCTGTGATTTTGCATACTTTTTGCTTGTTTGTTTTAGGCCTGGGATACTTTCTACAGACAAGAGCTTATCTAATTACAGTTGTATATTGTAAACCCTAGGGCAAACACTAAAAACATTTTTTAAGTAGTATCAATAATGTCAATTAGGAAATAAAATGGAATCATAAAAATGCTCAATTAACCCAAGAAAAAAGAAAAAAAGAGTTAAAAAGAAATAAGGAACATATGGAAGAAATACAAAACAGCTAACATGATGGTAGATGTTAATCCAACCATATCAACAATCACATTAAATATGAATGCCTGAATGCACCAGTTAAAAAAGGCAGATTGTCAGATAGGATCAAAAAGCAAACCCCAACAATATGCTGTCCTCAATAAATCAATTTTAAATAAAAGACATTTATAAAGTAAAAATTAAAAGAAAGAAAAAATAAACCATGTAAATACTAACCCAAAAAGACTGAAATAGCTATTTTGATAAGAAACAAAATAGACTTCAGAAAAAGGAACATTATCAAGGGTAAAGAGAGACATGACATAATGATAAAATAATCAATTTTACAGGAAGACATAACAATGCTAAATGTTTGTGCGCATAACATCAGAGTTTCAAAGTACATTAGACAAAACCAACTAGAACTGAAAGGAAATAAAGGCAGAGCCAGAATTGTAGTTGGAGACTTTATTACTTTTCTCTCAGTAACTGATAGAACATGTAGAGAGAAAATCAGCAAGAATATGGAAGTCCTTAACAACATCATTAACCAGTTATACCTAATGGACATTTCTGGAGCACACCATGCAACAGCAAAATACACTTTCTTTTATAAGTGCATTATAACACTCACCAGGATAGACTTTATCCAGGCTCAAAATAAAGCTCAACAAATTAAAAAGAGCACAAATCATACAAAGTATGTTCTCAGACCATAACAGAATTAGCCTAGAGAAAAAGAACAGAACTCCAATTAGAAAAACTCCAAATATTTGGAAATTAAACAGCACAATTCTAAATAATCCATAGATCAAAGAGGAAGTCTTAAAAAAAATTAAAGTATTTTGAAGTGAATGAAAATGAACCTGCAAAACTTCAACAA